TGATTATACCCGAAACGGTTACAATATCCCAAAATATAATATACAATGATTTTTATTTTTATTTTTATTTAATTTTCATCTTTTGAAAATATTATTTAGGTACAATAATATTTTTAATACAATACAGTTTAATGGAGAGAAAAAACTAATTATACTCGGCCAATAAACGAGCGGACCGTAAACAGATTTTGATTAAATTTATTCGATAAAACGATCAATTTTGTCAAAGAATACGAACTTCCAACGAGAGTGAGAACAATAGGACATTATTATTTTTTTATATTCTACAATGTTGGTGGGTTTTTGTTCTTGGAAAATTGGGAAAAATTACCGAGCAGCGGTTATCCCTCATTAGAACAAGATAATGATCAAGACAATTAGTATTTTGACAAACTGTATTCACCTATAATGTATTGCTGAAAACGCTAGTATATTTATCGAACACAAGATGTTTACTTTTTAAAAATGTGATACTAATTTATCTGACTTTTTTATGATTTAGTACATACATATTTTATTCTTTGTGATAAACAGCAACTCTCATATGTAACCATAATTCGATAAATAGCCATTCATAAAATATGTGTCTAATGTCCATGGAAAACAATAGGTATTACACGTAGTAAGTGAAATAATATAAATTACGATCATGATATTAAGTATTGTATAGCAAAATTGGAAAACCTAGGTAAATTGAAGTGTCATTTATTTCAAATAAGAAAAATTTTTGGTTGCTTTTTAAACTAAATTAATATTTTTTTGGAATTGGTTATTTAATAAATAAATTGTTTTAAAAGTAAATTGTAAAGAATTTCTGTTGAAGTAATTAGAAAGTATAGATACTTATTACTTACGTATCCTAAAAAAGTATTATTGGCTACATTTATTTTATACGTCAAAAAAATGTAATCGCTTTTTTAATTCGTTATGTGGAGACAGTTGTTAAAAACGTTATGATTATATAGAAACCTATTTATTTTGTTTTAAGTTGATTTTTAAGAGACTCTTACTAAATACGGGGATTCTATCCCGGCCAACAAACCTTACAGGTTTCATTTTTTTCACGTTTTCAATTTCGTTAACATAACATAATATTAGTTCAGCAAGGTCTAAAGAGAAGAGTACTTCTCGTATTTCTAATACGTGTTGTAAATCAGTAGTTTATTATTATCACATAATTACTAAAGTTATTTAAGGTCATATTATGCTGATGAAAAGAGCGTCTTATAACCTATAGCCTATAATATGAAGAAAAACAAAGCGTCTTAACAGGTTGTTATTACATGACTGGTGCAGGAAATATCTAGAGACCTATGGAAAACAGCGTCTTACGCGAGAAAGCGTCTTAATCGGGAGTGCCTTTAGCAAGTCTTAAGTTTACTATAATATAATTTTGAACTCTTACCATTCTTTGACTTTTGCCATTGAATGATTTTTCCATATTCTTTGCTTGGTATTTTGCTCGGCAACTGACATATGATATTAATCTTCAATTTATTACTATCTGGTACCTATTGTGAAAATACACTATAGAAGGAGATCCTATGGACAAACGTGAAGTCCAATAGAATATTACATAAATGGATGCTTCGTTCTGATTAGTTGCTTTGTTTGACTAAACCTAATGTATATTATATGATTTTTTGATAACGATAAGTTCAGTATTTTAGACAAAAACGGATATAATATGTATTTTAATTATGGGGCTTTTGCGGTTTTTGTTTATGTTCTCCACTCTAAAATGCTTCGATATAGTTTTTTTTCCACTTTATTGTTTTATGTTTTAATTTAAATCTTATATAATATGATATGATTTAAGTAAGAAAATTATTCATATATTTTTATACGTACAAATGTAAAAATTTAAATCTTGTTAAAATAAATAAATAAAAAATAGAGTGAAACTTTGATGACACCAATTGGTCGGAAACAAAAAAAAAATTAGAGTTATAAATTGTAAGTACCTACGTATCGAAAGTATAGCTGAGGCCTGAGGTATCGAAAATTCGACTTATGTAATAATAGGTGTTCGAATTATCGAGGTTCCACTAATAATTTTGTTTCTGTATACCTCCTATACCATTTAATTTTTAAACGTTTTAGACAAAATATTATGTTAATTCCCTGAAACTGATGATAAGTTTTTAAAATCCGTTTTTATACACAAAATACATGTCCGGATGCAATAATTTTAGCGCAATATGACACTTCAGAAATTTTAGGCGCCTCGCGCCTACACTAGTTGTAGACAACTAGACTCATTATAATATTTTATCGTCAATGTAAAGTATAATAGGTGCTCATTAGTTATTACTAATTCATTAACTAACCTAACCTAACTGTTATTTGTTAATAACAAATAATATAAAATCAACTTTTAAATTATACAATACCTACTTTTTAGTTTGTTTTTACAACGATAAAATTAATTTGATCTGTTTCAAATATCAAAATTTTTATTTAATATACAAGCCATTATTATTTAGAAACATTTATGTTTTGCAATCTTTTTAATGTGTATTACTTAAGATCACATAACATGCTAATAATATATTATTCCTTTTGGTATAAAATATACTTATACCCACCAACCCACCTACATAAGTACCTCGTTTACTGTTTATTGAATTTTACATCACAATTTTCGTTTTCTCCGATGATGTCTATTTATCTATTTTTCACTCAAGTGTCAGATGCCTATAACAACTAAACAATACATATTATAAATCTTATTATTATTATTATTATTATTATTATTGTGTACATTGGGTACAAACTCCATAAGTTATTTTACATAAAATATGGAGACAGTAAGACACTTCCGAATGACACGTTTTTTATTATACTTAATACTTATACATACATAAATGCATTGTACAATATGTACATGGTAGTTTAATTCTATACAATATACAGCAGAGTGGTTCACCAAACATGCTCACCGCCTTGAAACTTTTATTTATTTATTTATTTTGTTTTACACTATTTCAACATGCTATTTAATACAAGTTTGATACTAAATGCTTACATTATATTATTATCTAATATATTGTAACTTTTTGTTACGTGTGATGTACCGATATTATGATGTATTAGTTAACAGTATTGAACCTTCATATTTTATTACTAGTTGATTCAAATTATGGCATTTTGGAATGATGTTATATTTTTTAATACCTACAATATTACCATACATAGGTATACTTCAAAAGTCTTCTGTGGTGATACAAACTTCTTTTTTTTAAATTATAATTACTCAGTTTTAGTTTTTACTGTACCTAATATAATTGTTTAGTAGATAATATTTTTTTGTTAAATTTTCAAAATAATTCTATTGCCTAATAATTGTTTTACTTAAAATATAAAATATATTTAATACATATTTTGTCTTAGTGCTTGTCGTACATTCGTACTATAATAATATTGACAAATTATTGAATGAAATAAATAAGATTAATATTAATTCTTTTCATTTTAAAATCATTATGGCCCACATACAAAAATATCAAAGGAAATATTACTATTACATCAAAAAGAGTTGCAAAATTTAGAGTTGGTAATGGACTCGTACGAATTTTGATTTATATACCTACATCAAAAATCAGTTTAAAAAAAAAAATTTGAAAAAACCATTCTGCTTAATGATTATTTACAGTAAAAAAATAATGATCCGCATTTAAAAAAAGAAGAATTTTGTGATGCCTCCGAAAGACACTCATCAAACGACACAAATAAAAACAATTATTTGAAAATATTAAAGTCTCTAAAATAATTTGAATGTACTTAAAAATGAGTTCGTTATTAAAACAGCAAATGAAGGGTGAGTATGTCTGGTGAATCACCCTGTATAATATAGACACCGGTAATACTGTATTATTATAGCGGTTGTGCCGTAATATACATTCATCAATCGAGTTTTTGCATTACACACTCAAAACGTCGTGTGTCATTCCGCAGGGAATAATCTTACTCGATTTCCCTTTTAATTTTCGATTGTTCTTTTTTCTTCAACCGTTTTATTCGTTTTGAATGTAATTGGAATCTCGTTACAAAAACGGCCGACACATATTATTATCATTATATTGATGCACGAAATTCGATTTCACGTGTTTTGACTGTTTCTTATATTTATTTCTTTTTATGTCATATCTACAATAAAATAAAAATGACACTATATTATTATATACATCTGTGCGTAAGACGCATTTATATATATTTTATATAAATGCAGTATTATGATTTGCGAACAATAATTATTATTATACGGTATAAACGCTTTTACGAGTATTTTGTTATGTCTTGATGCGGTTAGTGAGGAACGATATATAATAATTTAAATTGGAATTTTTATATTAAAACGATAAAAACGTCGTCAAACGTATTAACTATGTGTATTGTTATGCGGGTATGTAAAAATTAAAAAGTGTCGACGTTGTGTAATAGATCTTCGAACGTTCGCTTTCGTGCGAATGTAAAACGTATCCTACCTATTTTAGAAACTGATAATAATGTAAAATACCTAATAATAATATAATACGAGTATTATTATGGTTGTTGATTAATTAAAAATGTATTGCAGAAGTCTTAAAGCATTGGTCAATTTTAATTACACAGTATCACGTAAGACGAACAACATATAGGTTATATTATTATTAAAAACAATAAAACGTACAAATTCATTAAAAAATATATATTACGTATTACATAAAGGTACCTACAATAGGTATATACTTAGACCTATATACTATTATATGGCAAAGTGGAACATTGTTTATTCAACATTTAAATATTATGTTGCAATAAAGGTGTATCTTTTTAATAATTACAATATTACCTGTAATCCGTATTAGTATTTAATACTGTAAACATTTTTTTTTCTTAACGTCACATTTATACATTATATTAGTAATTATGATTTGTGTAATATTTAATAATATTTTCAGCTATAATGTTACGAAACGATATAATTGTCTATTATTTTTATATGAATTATTTTAAAGGGCATACCGAACATTTTACGTTTGTAAATACAAAAACCGAAGTTACCTCGATCGCTCTCTCGTTTTATTCTGGCCTTTTTGCGTATAACGGATGGTTAGTACCTATATATACAACATATTTTAATATACCTATACTGAATAATGGTGTACAATGCAATTTTATACCGTTGTTTATAATATATTTAGAGTGTTTTCAAACGTTTTAAGGACAGTTTTAACATACAATTATGATATTATGTATATACAAACATGCATGCCAAAGTAATAGAAGTAAAAATTGAATGCCATTTGATAAGAATTCCGCATGGGAATGGACGAAAAGTAAAATATTTGATATTGCTCGGATATGTTTTACGCGAATGCAGATTCGAAAATTTAATATAATATGGGTCATAGGTTATACCTATAAGTACTTAACGAAGTTTGCCTCCTATTCAATCAGTTGTGATAATAACGGAGAAAAAAAATCGCTTGTTCATGATCTACCTATCTAAAATATTAACAACATAACAGTTGTACCTATATACTATAATATAGAAAGTCCTAAAACGTATTGCGTGCATGAAATAGGTGATTTGGTTTTTTTTCTAATATGCTATGATGTATTGATGTGTTCACTGGACACTATCCTGGTTGTTCGAACTTTTTTTTATAATTCATTATAATTAATTTGTATGCAATTATTGTAAAAATAACCATCTGCCAAGCTTGATACATACATTTTGAGTGTATTATTATTAAATTTAATATAGTACATATCTAATATTGTGTAATAGTAAAATATAAAAACAAAAATATTATAATTAGATGCAAATTTTAGAAAAAGTATACTACACACAAACATTACAGTCGCCTGCATTTAGGACAAACCATCTTCTCCTTCGAGTTCATTTATTGTTAATTTTAACCCTACCCATTTTTTGATGTATCTATAAAATACGATTTATGTTGTAAAATAAACAAATACCTACGCCATAACCGGCCAGATTACCTAACCTAACCTAACCTAACCCCATTGAGATACTCCTTCTTATAATAATATAATATAACAAATAATGCCGTTTTATATTAAACAATCCTGTTCATAAAATGTGCAATATTACAGATATAATGTTGCTATATTTATATACACATCAGGAGGACGCATATTATTATATTATTTTTTACATATAGTATGGTGTTCCCCGCAGCTGCAGTGGTGCATGTTTCCACGTTTTAAAAATTGCATATTTCGATGACGTTTTCATTTAGGTATAATATTATGATCGAGTGTGCAGGCTTTACATAGTATGACATAATATTTTTTATGAGACATTGCATGGTATTACGTTTAAAAGGGCGCAACTGTAACGCGCATAATTGTACCGAAAAAAAGCACTTTCGCAATATTTTGAACAACGGCCGAGGGCCGTGGACATATTTCCTTTGCCACAATGTGCATATATATTTAGACCTGAAAACTTCACGACATTTTAACGTGGGATCTCTATGTATTTTCACTTTTTAAACGGCTTGTAGGCGAACGGCATTTGATTTTGTTTTCGTAATTAAAGTTCTCAAATTTATTTCGACCGAGAAAATTCAAATCATTCGTAATACTGCTTACACCTGTTCTAATTTTGTGATTCTCGAGTGCTAGTTACCTAGTAATAATTGATCTACACTAAAATCTCACGAGTCATAGGTACATCACATATTTTATTACCTATAATATTATACACTGGAAAAGTGCCAATAATCTATCTTCTATTTTCATTTGTAGTCAAAGGTTATGTTCAAATAGCCCTCATATATAGTTGAGCCCTTCAAGTTCTCATTTGTTCGTTACTGTTGCCACCCTATATTAACAAAATTAATTATATAAAACCAATATTATTATATGTAGAATAACATAATATGGGCTCAAACAATATAATTATATGTTTACATAGGTATTATATTATTATGTACGATACAGAATTTCGTTAATATTAACATTTATAATATACAAACATGATTAAGTTTTTTTTATTGTTTTCTAGGAATTATTTAAACTTTGTGATTGAAGAATTAAAAGATCCTATACGGTTTGTTATTTTCATAACTCTATACGTTTAGTTGAGTTATAACGTCGTCTTCGCAAACTAATTTTGTTTTTATTATTCCTTAGAAACCTGCCAAGAGCAATTGCAATATCATGCATACTCGTCACTGTCGTGTATGTCTTCACTAATATAGCTTTTTATACAACTTTGTCACCACAAGAAGTCCTGACTTCAGAAGCTGTAGCTGTTGTAAGTATTTTAAACACATTTAGTGCATATGTATTACAATCCCGATTAAAAATACACATTAAATTCGGATAGCATATTATTAGTACATTACATATAGTTGGTAGATTACGTTGTTAAGAGTCCATCAATGTGCTACTTCTTTCGTTTAGTATAAATAGATAAACACAAAAGATACACATAAAAAATTGTATTTTGTAAAATAAACAAGAAATGTTTCAACATTGCAGTTTAAACACAAAATTTATATATATGTATTACCCATTGGTACTGAAATCATGCTAAATTAATGAGAATTTTTAAGTTATAGTAGGGATTTAAATACTTAGGGCCCAGAACCAACCTGAGATCGAAGCCACATTGATAATATTTGCAATTTCAAAATACAAAGTAATTGAATACGAAAAAATCGCATTCACTGTAAATCTTAAAATAATAAATATCTCAAAATAAATGTATACTTAGGTACCTATTACCGTACATTGATTTAAGTTTTTGTTTTAGACGTTCGCGGAGAGACTGTACGGTCCAATGGCATGGACGATTCCCGTGTTTGTTGCTTTATCTACATTTGGCGCGGTCAACGGTATTCTGTTGACAAGTTCAAGGTGAAAACCCATTTTTTACACTTACATTTTAAGACTATAAAACCTAACCTAATGAGTAATGACTATATAAATGTGAAACATTCGGGCGTCACAACTTCGTTCCTTTAAAATCAAGTACCTACCTATTATTGACGGACTGTTCTTAGATATTACAATAATATATGTTATTTTTTTTTTTTTTTTTTGTGTGGTATCGAGAACCAGAGGGGGGACCGCGTTAGCATTACTTCCCCTCTGGAGCATTACTTCCCCTCTGGAGCATTACTTCCCCTCTGGGGCATTACTTCCCCTCTGGAGCATTACTTCCCCTCTGGAATATATGTTATACAGTTTTAATGTTTTATTATGCGATAGTAGGTAGGTAAGAATGCTAAAACATTCGGCTTTCCCTAAAGTTTATTAATTATTCGTTTTATACAAAATCAAGTAAAGTCATAGATGAATATACTGTGTTTTTATTTTCTTATCTATTTTGTCTACTGTGTAAAACGTATTGTATACTTTACGTTTACTTTAAACAAATGTAGGCTAAAAATCTTTGTTGTTGAAGCCTTAATAAACTTTATAAATAAATGACTTTACGTTTTTATGTAATGGACAATGGTGATAAATGATAACCAAAAGTGTTTAACATCAAAGAATTTAACATTTTAATTTAGAACTCCTAGTTATTGAAATTTTTTGTTTGAATCGTGAATTGTATTTTTAACATGAATAGAAAAATAAGTCGTTTGAAAACATGGTAGGTAGTAATTATTAATAAGGTTCAACGATTTCTCAAAAAAAATCTTATAGGTTCCTCCTTATTATGCGGAGATATTGTTACAATCTATATGATCATGAACTCTAAGATTCATATATTATCAAATAGTACGCATATCGTCTATTTAAATATTATATAATATTATTACCTCTTAGTTTTAAATTGTTAATATTCTGACTTACAATTTTTAAGCATAACTAAAATATCTGGTTAGATCAACTTTTATAATAACGGCAGCCCGGTTATAAGTACCCACGCGTATTAAAAGTAAAAAATTGTTAATTATCGACTATTATTTTTAATTTATAAAATATTATATTATATCGTATATTATTATCATACCTCTATGTAGATTGTTCTACGCCGGAGCTTGCGAGGGACAAATGCCACAGATCCTGACAATGATCCAAATCAACCGATTGACACCCACACCGGCAGTCATATGCATAGTAAATATTATTATGATAACAATTAACAATAACTTTAAATTGTATGTAGGATAAAAAAAAAATACGCTCAAACAAGTATTACGTACTTAAAGGTAACTGTTACAATAATATTTTTATTAAATTTTATCTCATTTTCACAGTGCTTGCTGTCTCTGATATACTTGCAAATATCTAACATTTACGCTCTTATTAATTACGTGGGATTCGCGACATGGGTAAGTTTGAACAATATGCTTAATAAATAATAATCAATTGAACCAGACCATACCTAATTTGCGGTCACGTACATATTGTGTTGTCGTATGTATTGTATTTGTATTTTGTATATCGTTTCAGTTGAGTATCGGTGTGTCGGTCTTGTGTATACCCGTGCTGCGTTTCACTCAACCCGATTTGAAGAGGCCGATCAAAGTCAATATGTTCTTCCCGGTCTTCTACATCGCCGCTACGCTTTTCGTGACCATAATACCGATAATCGCTAGTCCGGTTGAAACAGGTGGGTGTACATAAAATAATTTATAAATTATATTGCTCATTCCTTTCTCAACATTTTATAATATGGATAATGTATATTTTATTCGAATTCAAATTTTTGGAATTTTTAAAAAGGTACTATTTGTAAATACAATGATTTTTGTACAGTTCGAGGAGTATCCTGTTGCGATAAAAACTTTAATAATAATTACTGCACATTTTTAAGCAAATTATTTTAGAATATTTTTATGACCCACATACCTATATAATTGAATTTCTAAGTTATTAAACTTTGTGTACACATTTCTAAGGATAATAGTCCTTAAAAATAGTATTACATAAAATATATATTACCTAAATTATGTTATATTGCTATCATTATGTAATAATATTTAGTCTAGTATTAATTATATCTACTCGTTTAATTTGTACAAATTATAAAATATAATAATAAGATTAATCATTTTCAAATCATCTTAGAACCCCATATTTTCTGAATCTATATTTATCGTGCAATTATGTATACCTACCTACTATTATCATTAGAATTTAGTGCACAAAATGTAACTCAGAATCTACTAGTTCGAATTTTGGTCTAGATGCATTAAAATGTTAAGAAAATCGATATTTGTAAATGTAAATAGGTATGAAAGAAAATATAAAGTTTGTACCAACGTGATGACACAGGATAGTGCACTCCTTATAAGTGGTATAAAAATGGTACATAATACATGAACGTATAGTTTATAAGTAAGTAACTGCATAAGATTTCCGAAAATCAGAATTTGAATAAATAGGTTGGTACATTATTAAAAGCTAAGCTGAGATGAACATCCTACATTTCTGCATAATATTATATAGGCCTACCTACCTATATTAGAGGTACAAAAAAATGTATCTTATATATATTTTTTATTTAATATTAAACGCACTTAGACCCACGAAACCTAGGTAGGTACCTGAAATGCGTAGTATAAACTTGTATAGTTGTATGGGCTGTGAAAAGCAAAAACTATTAATAAAAATGTAATTGTTTAGTGTCGCAATAAGGAAACCTAATAATAGTGTTCTATTTGATGACGCGAAACTATTGAACAAATGTTTATACTTAAAAAAAACCTACCTATTTAAGACTACATAAATATCAAACAAATTTGTATGTATAAATACAAATTTTAATTCACATGTTATTTGTGGAATAAATGGGCGAATGGCCCAATAAAATTGTAGAATGCTTATTTTAACACTTTAAGCACCCTCTCTCTCCGTATTGGTACTTCCAATATTCCAATCCATAATTGTTACTGAAGAATATTATGTGTTTCTAGGGTACGGATGTTTAATGATATTGACCAGTATACCGGTGTACGGTGTGTTCATTTTTTGGAAAGACAAACCCATGATATTTCATAAAATTGTCGGTAAGAAACACATTTACGATTTACTTGTATAAAGGTACCTGGGATAAGTATATCTCGTTCATATAATAAACACCAAAAACAATATTATTAATCGTGTGTGTGTTATACACTAGGTACCTACCTATTATAATATATCTACCTAGTATCTACATGGTTGTTTAAATTCAATATTTTCAGGGTGTTTAACACGTTACCTCCAAATACTTCTTATGGTGACCACATCAAAAACGCCGGCCAAAGTTTAAAACTTAAACACTTATCACAATCATCACAACTATGCAACAGTAAACGAACAATAATATTAATATATCAATAATACCCAATAATTCCAATAATCATAATAATAATATAATATGTTATGTGTGGTATACCTAATATGTATTTTAAAAGTACCTTTACCTAAAACTAAACAGCAATATAAAAGACAATGAGTTTTATGTTACCCTCGCATTCACATAACATAATATTATATTAAGTGCTATCTAAACGAATGTTTATGTTTTACGTATTAAGTTTTTACATTGATGTAATGTTACCTAAAATATTTATAAAAATGTTAATAATATTTATGAAGGTGTTGCACGATACTATATACTCACCTACAGGCTAAAGTGATTATAATACAATTGTTTTTAAATTCAATTGATATGTACTATAAAAATATTAATAACATTTTGTTTTTAATTTTTATACCAAACACCAAATCAGTATTCAGAAATGACAATAATTAACGATTTATAATAATAAAAATTTATTATAAAAGTAAGAACTTAAAATGATTATTATCTATATTTATATGATTTCGTGATATTCTTCGTTTCAATTTTGAATTAAACTCAAATGGTTGTAATAGATTAATACTATATTTGAATCATAGATATTTTATGCTAGACAAGAACTGTGCACAACAACAACATTACGAGCGGCGGTAAAACATCTCGCAGTGATGTAGGCCATCTTGACGAAAAAATACAGTGATGCATATAGTGGTGGCCCTGGGGGGATGGCTAGGGGTTATGTCAACCCCTTATCCCCCCAAAATGGTCCCTTAAATCCCCTTATTATATCTTATGTTAAAGTACCACAATTCATTTAAATGTGTTACTAGGGTTCTGAGTTAGGAGCTTATAACATTTGTATATTTCTTATAAAATCCAGTAACTTTAGTACTCATTCAGTAAACACAAAGCGCCCTCTGTGTTTTGCCGCTTTCCATATACTCATTGCTTGTCTAGTAGTATAAGATATGTGAATTAAATAATGCTTAGCAATGTAGGCACACATGTATAAGTACTTTTCAGTTGTTAAATATTTTACTAAAAATATCTACAATATATATATATTTTTTTTAAAAGCTTTTATTCTTATGTGTTATTGAAATATTCATTTAGCATGACTAATTACAATGTATTGAAATTATTTCTTATGGATATTGACAGTTCTTTTATAATTAACCCCTAAGAAACTATGAAAAACTAACGATTTTACTTTTTATATTGTGGAAAAGTAGAACTTTGTTAACCAAATAGAAATTACTCTAGTTCTGATTATACCAACTTAAATCTTAATCAAAGAAATAATTAATAATCCTATTTAATAATTTATATACTATACATTGCATTTTTACTTCTTTAACTACCCAATAATTATAATCATAACAATTTTATATACTTGTAAGTAAAAACCTTAATAATAATAATAATAAAAAAAATAATTATAATATTATGACTACCAATATTTACAACTCCAAACTTCTAAATATTAGAATATATTATACTTAGGTACTAAGTAGTCTCATTAAAATTGTTAGGTGAACCTATTATAAACTTTAAAAGTGCCTATTTGTTCTATAATTTATAATGATTTATAGGTATAAATATTATTTTTTAGATTGTTGGTTTATTTATAATTGTTAATTTTAACCATTTAAAGTATTTGTTATGTTTGGTGTCTGTTAGCAATAATTTAGGTCTATATATTTTTTTTAAATTTAAATCATGTTTCATTGCCTAAAAATTGGTGCATTGATATTTTCAATAATTAACACTGAATTATATGAAAACTGTTGAACTTCCAGCCTTTGATTATAAGCATTAATAAGTAACATTTTTAAAACAAATATTTATTTTTATAAAACAACAACATATTATGTTTTTTTTTTTATATACAATCATTAGACGATCAAAGAAATTAAGTTTTAATATCTATGAAATATATTATATTATGTATGGTTACTTTTTACAATTTTGTATAATTTTTTAATCTTATTTGTTGGTTTTTGTAAAAGATTTTGTTATATGATATCAATACTTTACTATTCACCCTTGTGGATACCTATCTCTATTCTGTAGGTATTTATTATTTATGCTTTAATGTGAATGTTATGAATTATCTTGTTAAAAATACATACATCATAATTTGTATTTTTTTTTTTTTTAAGATCTATTGTTTTAAGTTACTATAATTCTATAAAACATAGCTAATAATCATATATCTTCCAGTAATAAATAAAGTATGTCACTTACCTATTATGTTAAAACCATACTTGCCACTTGAGTATACATAGGCCTATGCATTTTATTCATTTAATCATAAGTACCTATTTACAATAACAACTACTACTTAATTCCTTTTCATAGAATTATAAAAAAAAATATGTAACACAGTAATATTTTATAATAAAAATTATTAATTATATACTTAAGAGGACACAATAAGGTTTTTTTTAATAACCAGACTTGATTTTTTTTGTCCTGTTATTAATAATTATTGTTAAACATTATATTATTATTGTACTGTATTAGATGGTACCTATAACTGTTTTGTACCTTAAGTTTAAGCATGACTTATATAGTTATAATATACAATAACCTAACTATATTTAAGACGAGTGACAATATAATTCATCATAATACATTCATATTACATTATTGTTATTCTAATATCCTATATTTCAATTATTGAGTAGGTAACAGAATATTAATTAAGATTTAATATGTTTACATTTTACATTAAACAATTATACAAGTAAAACCAAAGCTGGTGACATAACATGGAGTTAATTGTAATAAGGGGGAGGGGGAGGGACAAAATATAAAAAATATGTTTTACCTACTATATCTAAAGTTTATTAGGGGAAGTGTAAAACATTAAATAGTGATCCTCGGAGTTTTGAAGGATTGTAAAATTATTGAAAATGTATCAAGTTAATAAATAATAATTGTACTATTTATATTATAATGTACACAATTTTAAATGTATTTGTATGCTATTGTGGCCATTTATTTAAAAAGCTTTTAACATAAGTAATTAGATAGTTATCTAATGAATTAATAACTTATATACAATAAATATCTATTGTTATTACTAAAGATTCTTTTAGTTAATATGAAAAATAACAGGTACCTGGTACACGTTAAATTAAAACTGGTTTATACAAATCTGTAACTATTAACTGTAATTAAATTGACGAGCTGAAGGGGGCAACAGCCTTCATCGATTATTCCTATGATCAAAGCAATAATTAAATTACCTTTATTACCAAATATAATATTACCAACATTAACCTACATTCCAATATTAAGTTTTCAATTTTTTCCCTTGATGTCCAAAATGTATAAATGAAAGTAATAAGAATATGAGATTGATATTTATGTGTTGTTTTTAATAGTAGTCATTTAAGGGTTATCTTTCACTATTCAGTTTACCATAGTAAAAAGTACAGCTTCTATGTGGACTACTGGACTACCTACATTTTATAAAAAAAATAGCAATTTAAATAAGTTATTTTCAATAAAAAAAATATAAATTAAGAACCTACTTAAAAAATTTTTTTTATTGTTACAGCATCAACTACAAGGTTATTACCTTAAAATAATAGTAATGAATTAAAATTAAATTTAGTTAGGTATACATTTCATTTTTTGATTTTTTTTTTTCATTATGTTTTGTGTATCATCATATAGGGTCCTATGGCTTTGTATAGATTGTCTGGGATTTTGCATTCTTTTCTGACCTCCGTGAAGATACTTTAAATTATATCTTATGCTAAAAGAGTTGGACAATTATTTCTATTTTGGTAGCAGAAGTATGTACCATAAAGCTCAAATCACATTAAATTGTTTTCTCAAACTCTATTAACTATTTTGACAACATCCATTATGTGATGAGGATAGTATTTATGCCAAAATGTCTTATTAGAAACTAACAGGACTGTTACATTTTTTTTCTGGATAGTTGATAGTTATAACTATTAACTGACCAAATATGGTCAATAGTTAACAGGAGCTACTAGAAATAACATCAAATGAAAAATAAATAAAACTTATACATTACCTAATTAAATTATTTTATTGTGGATAATCAAATTCATAATTAAATACAATTTATTTTATATAATATGATTAATTACTACACGGAAACAAAAAATATTACTTAGTATATAAATTTAAGAATATATACTCATATTTACTTCTGTTCAGTTTCTTCGAAAGGGTAAGGTGGTGCAAAAGCATTGAAAAAACAGTTGTCTTGTAACTGAAATAAATAAACATATGCAAATTAAAAAATTATTTAAAAATTGAGGTATTCTGTGTTAAGAATAACACAGAATATTATTATGTTATTTCCGTACTTTCTCAAATAAAATAACAAGTAATGAATACAATTTATACTTCCTATTGGTTTCAGAGCAATGACAAGTTATCATAAAAAAATAATTTATTGATACATTATAGTTCAGATACCTATGTGCTTACAATAGCTATATAAAAGTTAAAATATTAGTATTAACCATTTGGTTGGTACTTAGTATATATATCACTATGCAATGTTATTCAATCATTATACACTTTCCCAAATAAAATGAATGAATATTTCTAGGCACACTACTTATTAACTGTATTAAATTATGCAGATATAATCATTATCTTATGCTTACAAGTAATTTATACTACTTAGGGTATTGTTTTCCTAACTTTTATATCTTTACTATTGTTGTTATCGGTAAAATAACTAAAACAAATTAAAAATTTCAAAATTCTGCACAGAATATTGAACTACAGTGAAAACTCTTTATAACGAAACTCTTTACAACGAAAAACTCTATATAACGTAAACATTACATAATAATGGTTGGTTTGCTATATAACCCATTAGACAATTCATTCTCTATAACGTATTAGTCACTCTCAATAACGAAACAATATTTTATGTTTCATAATACAATTTACGTGTTATCGTATCTATTACATATATAAACTATAAAAATAATCGGCAATAATGCCGAGATTTCCAAGAACGATTACATTCTTTCATTATTTGTAAAAATAATGATGTGTTTGATATATAATATTACATAGGTACATACCTTTATACATAAATAATTAAAATTTTGTTTTTTTTAAACCCTCTCTATTACGAAAACTCTCTATAACGAAAGAAATCTCTTGGTCCCTTCAGATTCGTTATAAAGAGTTTTGACTGTATTTAATAGATTATAGTAAGTATGTGAGTATAGTATATGGTGAATTCTAGAAGCTGGCAGAAGTTATATTCTTATATAATTAAATTGTAAACGTAATATTATAAGCAGTAAACAGACATGTTCAGAATTGTAGATGGATACGGGTGGGTGTCGGCTGGTAAATTTTTAGGTTTGCCCCCATTGGTTCGCACCAAAGTGTCTACTTTATGCAAAACACTGGTAGTGAACGGTGTGTACATTATATAATATTTATAAAAATATGATATCAATAGTAATAGGAAATACTTACTACGTAGATGGACGTTGCAAGAGCAGCAATTCCACCAACTAGTACTAGATTGTATTTGGTATTGGTTTTTCCATGGTATTCCTTCCAGGGCACCTTTGGGACTGGCATGTCATCCATCGTCAGGGGTTTGTACGTGGCGTGGTGACCATCGGCCTTAGACCGCACGGACGTTCTCAACACGGCTATAAAAACATATCGACAGAAAAGTTAGAGTCACGATCATCGTTTATCGAAGTTGGGTTGAAATTATAAATTCGAAATTATGCAGATCATATCGTCGCGGTAGTGCGTCAGTCGTTATACAAGTACTTACAGTTGGATTTCTTCAATTGCGCTAATATTACTCTTGACATGGTGGTGATGATTTTAGTTTCTTTCTTTCGACAAATACGATATAATTGTGCAACGGTTGTCACCCGCGGCTCACGGCAAGTCCAAAATAGTATCGAACTATCGACACACGAGACACGACCTTTGCAGATAATGGAGAAGAAAACTTAATCGTTCCGCTGCAAATGGTTAACAGCTGATGCGTTGATCAGCGACCGCGATTATAAATTGATAACACAAGTCCCGTCCGAATTCAAATGGTTAAGTACATAATTTTTTTTTTACGTTGGTAACACTATAAATGCAACAGTCACCGTATCTCTATCCTTATCAATTTTCTGTCAATCACCCTTTACCGGCTGGTGGCTGTACCGCATGTGGCATTCACACATTGTGTATTTGACATTTGTATACAAACTAGAAGTCTGTAACTGCCTACTGAGTACTGACTAGTGTAGTAGTGTCAATACTGAATAGTGTCTAGTGTCTACTGTCTAGTCCTGACAGTCCTGTTGACTTCTGTGTAGTGTTGTAGTTCATGGATTTACGTCGGACTTGTTAATAGTAATAGCCACATCCAACAAAATGACCGAGGACGCAGTGAGCACGGTGTTGGCCCGTTTCAAATCGGAAACGGGCGAGACTGTCAGCAACATGATGGACCTGCCTCGAGACGTCACTGTCAATCATTTACAACTAATTTGCAATTCATTACTCAAACAAGTAATAATGATGATCAATAGATCTCCGAACACTACCTGCAGTGTTTTTCACGTAGTAACTTAACTAATGAAAACCTTACGGTTTTAGGACGAGTCTGTGCCCTACGCATTTTTTATTGACGACAAAGAAATCACTATCAATCTAGACGAATGTCTTGATGCGAAACAAAAATTCAGCACTGAACTCGTAGTAGATATTGTCTATCAAGAACAAGCTGTTTTCAAAGTGCGACCCATCACCCGATGTACCAGGTCAGTGTTTGAATGAAACATAAAATGTGCCTACATAGATAACTATTATTGAATTTTGGAAGTCACCATAAAACGTTTTCAGTTCGTTGCCAGGTCACGCCGAAGCTGTGATATCAGTACAGTTCAGTCCAGACAGCCGGAAATTGGCCAGTGGGTCGGGTGACACGACGGTCAGGTTTTGGGACCTTGACATGCAAACACCATTACATACTTGTGAAGGTTTGCCACCTACAATTATTAATATCTTTAAATTTAATCATCATTAATATTAATTTAGCAATCTTATAATCTTATGTGTATTACAGGTCATAAGAATTGGGTGTTGTGTATTGCCTGGTCTCCAAATAGTAAATATTTAGTATCCGGTTGCAAAAATGGAATGATTATGTCTTGGAATGTTGAAACTGGCAAACGGGTTGGTCCACCAATGACTGGCCACAAGCAATGGATTACCGCTCTATGTTGGGCTCCTTACCATTTATCCCCAGAGTGTAGAATGTAAGTAAGATTTAGGTTTCTTTCTACTTCATTGAATTCTCTACAAATTAATACTATTTTTCTAGATTTGCAAGTAGTAGTAAAGATGGGGATATTCGCATTTGGGATATCATACTTGGTCAGTGTCAAAGGTCTCTTACTAGTCACACTCGCAGTATCACTTGTTTGAAATGGGGGGGAACAGGCTTATTGTATAGTAGTTCACAAGATCGTACAATTAAAGTTTGGAGAGCCGATGATGTAAGTAGTATTATCATAATGGACTTAAAAATTTGTATTGTAATTTTATGTGAAATACAGTTCAATCCCTATAATCTGGCTTTGCAATATTCCAACACATCCAGTAATCTGACCCTTCTTATGACGAGTTGTCATCTATATTTGTTTTTTTGTTCTTTTACACTATTAGTTAGCCTGTGTACTAAATAATCAGAATTAAAATTTTAAAATTTTTAATTATTACTTATTTATTATGGTGTAAATGTAATACTTGAATAATAATTTAATTTAATTAAAAATAACCCATAAATAATTATTTCCAATAGTCCAAATATTTTGTAATCTGACAGTTCTGGCTGGCCCCTTATGTGTTGGATTGGATTAATGAGACTGCACTATAAAATTAATCAATTTCTTACATCCTTCATTTTAATGGTTTGTTTAGGGTGTTTTATGTAGGACGTTGGAGGGGCATGCTCATTGGGTGAACACTCTTGCACTCAGTACTGATTATGTGATAAAAACAGCAATGGTACCCCAACCTTGTTCTAACAACGACAAAAGTATATTTACTGCTTATATTTAAATATTAATTTTATTATTATATAATGTGCCTTTTTTTATAGCTGATAATGTATTAGCTGAAGCTAAAAAACGATATGAAGTGGCTGTAGCAAATGGTGGTGAGCGGTTGATTTCTGGATCAGATGATTTTACACTTTTTTTATGGGCCCCTGAAAGTAGTAAAAACTCTGTTGGTAATGTTCTAAAAATCAAAAATTCTCATTAATCCTGCTTTAAATAACCATCCGTGTACATAATATATTATCAACAATAATTGAATGTTTTGCTTATTGTGTAGCAAGAATGACTGGACATCAGCAGCTAATTAATTGTGTACAGTTTTCACCAGACACGCGGTTAGCTGCGTCTGCTTCATTCGACAAATCTATAAAATTATGGGATGGAAAAACTGGACAGTAGGTTTGGTCATATATTTAAAATAGTTCATGTGTTGATGAAAAATTGTTTTTTTCTTAGATTTCTTGGAACAATGCGAGGGCATGTACAAGCTGTTTACATGATTTGTTGGTCTGCCGATTCAAGACTGTTAGTCAGTGGAAGTGCAGACTCAACATTAAAAGGTCTATATTTTTAAAATTTATCCTAATGAAACATTTAAACAATAAATAATATTGTATTGTTTAGTATGGGACGTGAAAGCCAAAAAATTACAAGGTGATCTTCCAGGTCATGCTGATGAAGTATTTGCTGTTGATTGGTCTCCAGATGGGCATAAAGTTGCTTCTGGTGGAAAAGACAAAGTACTTAGGCTGTAAGTGTTATTATTTTTATTTCATTTATATTGTTTGAATGTGTGACTTGTTTTAACAATATCTGTATGAATAGTATTTTGATTTTAAAAAATGAACAATGAACACGAATGTTGTAGTTATGATATTGTTTTAATATTGCTTATCGTCAAATTTTTTAATTATTTATTCTATTTGTTTCAGGTGGACACATTAAATATTCAAATGTTTCTCGAAAATAAATTATTTACGGGTTAATAACATATTTTTGTACGCCACTGAATTTTCAATGTATTAAGTTATGTAAATAAATGTTATTATTATTTGTAATATATACATTTTTGTTAGCTTATTTCTGTTGTTTTGTTTTACACTCCACAAATTGAAGTGAAATTTGTCCAAACAAAACAAATAACACAGGCATATCATAGATAGCCACAACACACCACCGCACCACACCATGTTCAGAATTTATGTATGAAATTTTATTAAGATTTTATAATGAAAATTAATATAGATAGTCGGCTACTATGTTAATTTCTATAATTATTTCAAATATTTTAACATACAAGAGTATACACATCAAAAGTGTATATAAAACATAATGAATGAAAACATATGTAATATGTCCCTAAAAACTAAAAATATACCCCTAATATAAATAAATAATTTGTGGGTATGTACAATGTAATTGTTTGATAATTTAAAATGATTTAAATTATCAATTTTGACAGACCTACAGGAGCGACTTCAATAATTCAAACGACTTCAACTCCAAAATTGGTACCCCCATGTTGTAACGTTGAGCCAACACTGGGTTGGGGGGAGGGATTTAAGGTCATTTTTTACCAAAGAAAAAAGTTTAAGATTTACTTTATATGTAATGCAATACATATACATATAATATAAAAAAGTAACACATACCTTTATAATTTGTGTCATTAACTATTTGATCAGTGGTCATTAATTTTGCACCAATAAGATACAAATAAATATCTAATAATTAAATATTTTTTTAGTCTGCTATATATAGTATGAGTATAGTGTGTGCTAAATTAGTCTCGTTTTGTACAATCATACTTTTCTCCTTGTATTACTACCAGGTCATCAGTAAAACAAAATATATTACATATTATATTCAAATTTTGTTTCAATTTACCATTAACTATTAAAACTATTATAACTGTACCTGGTATAAGTCTTTGTATAGGTAACATTCTGTAACTTAGTGTGTTGTCTAATCAGTGGCAAACTCAGGATTTTGTATTGTGGGTCACTGTGGCCTACAACTATTATAATTAAAAACCATATAATACTACCAAGCTATAACTAATATAACAAAATTTAATATTTTGACAAACATGTATATATATATGTTATAAATAATATTATGATGCATTAAAATAAGATAGGGGCCACATAATAATAAAATAAAAAACTATGGGTCAGCTGATATTCAAACCTCTCCATCCTGGGCATATTTCTGAATGAAATGTAAGCACAATAACTTTTTGGTAACTTACAAAAAAGTTCAGAATTCAAATTTTGGATACCTGTTACATCACCTTAGAGCGTGGTAGCTATCAAATGATTTTTACTTAAAATTTACATACAGTATTGTAATCAAATTTCAGATTCCTGACAAAACTTTCAACTCTCGTAAAAACTGTACATGGTCAGCATGGTGTTATTTCAGCACCTCGATAGCTTTTAAAATATGAAGTAAAATAATTATTAAGATGATAATTCATTTTTGGAGGACAGGAATGCATAACTCAGCCTATGTAAGACAAAAATTATGATTTTTTTTTAAACACTATCAACAGTCATTTAATAATCAAAACCAAAATGATAGAATACTGAATAAGTTACTGGAAAACAATAAATACAAAGCTTAACACAAAGCTTAATAAGTAACAAAACACAGTTTAAGTTGTAAATAACTTGTGATCGGTATAAATATAAATATTGAAAGTAAAATTTGATTAAAAAATTTGACAAGACGGGGATATACCATAAATAATAATCATCAATAAGAAAGAGTATACATTGATTGTAAAAAATAAATATTCAAGAAATAAAATAGTTCGATAAATATTGTCTCACATAGTTAAGATGAATTTTTCAAAACTATAAAAGCTACAATATAATGGTAAATAATAAAAATATACATTTTTA